AAAAAGGAAATGCAGCTAGGAATGAGAGTAGCCCAAAGAAGCCTGTCTCAGGAAGGCAGATTCTGAAAATCAGCAGTAACCAACAGTGACAAATTATAAAAAGGAATGACAATTATTTTTTTAATGTTTATTTTCAGAAAGAGAGGGAACATGCGTGTGAGTGGGGAAGGGGCAAAGAGAGAGAGAGAGAGAGAGAGAGAGAGAGAGAGAGAGAGAGAGAGAGAGAAAGATGGAATCCCTGTCAGCGCAGAGCCTGACACAGGGCTGGGAACTCATGACGAACCGTGAGATCATGACCTGAGCTGAAATCAAGACTCAGACTCTGACTGAGCCACCCAGGTGCCAATGGGCTGACAATTATCGAACATTTACTATGTGGCTGCCATTTTCCAAGAGTTTTATATACAGAAAACCATTTACACTTTTAAGAGAATCCTATAAGGTAGGTTATACTGTAATCCCATTTTACAGATGAAGAAATATAGTAAGGCATAGAAAAGTTCAAGAGTAACAGCTGTACAATAGTTGGCCCAGTATCCAGACCTGGCAGTCTAGTTCTAGAGCCTGCAGTCTTAACCACTTAGAAAAGAGAGAGAAGTTCAGAAAGTTGTGACTGAAAAACATTTGAGCATAGCTTTGGCTAGAGCACATACAAAAATGGGCATACTCTATGGCTGAGGGGACCATCAGCAAATTTAAATCCCTTGCCTTTTCATGTGACATACAAGAATGCAAAAAGAAAATTTTTCCACCCTACTTTAGCTAGACTCAGTCTCTAAGATAAGGGCAGAGTTCATTCTTAGAAAAATGAAGTTGGGGAAACACCTACCAAATGTTCTCAAACTAGTTCTCACTTTAAAAGTCTCTTAAGAATCTGATAGATATGACCTAGAAACCTTTTTTACTTTTATTTATTTATTTTAACGTTTATTTTTGAGAGACAGAGACAGCATGAGCATAGGAGGGGCAGAAAGAGAGAGAGACACAGAATCCGAAGCAGACTCCAGGCTCTGAGCTATCAGCACAGAGCCTGACGTGGGGCTCGAACCCACCAACTGTGAGATCACGACCCAAGCTGAAGTCAGACACGCAACCGACTAAGCCACCCAGGCGCCCCTAGAAACCTTTTTAAAAGAACACTTCTCATATGCTTCTGATGCACAATCAGGATTAAGAATGCTAGACTCGCTCTGAATTACTGAAAAAGTAAGAACCATTTGATAAAGGAAAAACTGTGCAGACTGTGGGCTGCTGTAAGGCCAAGAGTGAGCTTTTTTTAATTCTACAGAAGAGCAAATATGCCCCCCCCCATGATGTACTTTTAACCATATAAATTCATTTTACATTTTATATATTTTTTGTATTTTATATTTTTCTCATAACACTGGGTTATCAATATCCATTTCCTTATTACATCTTGGTTACCTAATAATAATTAAGTGTAAATGTACAGTTACAGAGGTTAAAAGTTGAAGGGTGTCATACCCAATAGCCTCATTTTCTTGGTAAGGCAAAGGAAAAATCACCCTGTTTTACTGGAGCTGGCATTGAATAGGAGGTTGAGAATGGTAGTGGTTTGAAACAGCCATTGAGAAAAACCGTATATAGAATGAACAGGATATTTGAAATTCCGATGTATATACATGTATGTATTCAACTGTGTATACAGTTCCCTCAATCAGGACTCAAAGACTTTTATTATTAGGGTCACATTATTTATTATTTTATTATTGCCATTTCTAAAAAGCCCACTAGAAAAAGAAGGAACTGGAGGCCAGAAATATAGGAGTGGGGAGGAAAAAGGCCTATATAATAGATGACCTTCTCTCTTTCTGCTCCCCTCAAAAATCCCACACTTATGTGTATATACTGCATAACACTATCCAAACATGGAAAAATATGTGGCCACAATGGCTGACAGTAGTTAACTTCCAGGCTGGGGGTGGAATGGGGGATGGAAAAGGGAAGTCGAGTAGGTAAGAATAAAACACTAGCAAAACAGAAACCAGATCCATGGTATAAATTTAGGTGAAAATGATGAATAAAACCCCACATAATAAAGGGCAAATCAACAAGGAGTATTGCATTCTTTCAACAAAGATTTGTTCAATGAAAACACACTGAACTGAATAGACGAATGCATTGTGAGCAATTCTTATCTTGGTTTCTTATAACTTCAAAATAGTTTTTAGGATATGGTGAAAGTAAAAGAAAACACTAAGTAGATCTAACAGCAGGGCCATAGATATTTGCATCATAATCTTGAGGTTAAAGGGAAGAGGCTAACAATCATACTTCTGCGTCTGGAAAGGGGGTATATATAAACTGGGCCATCATATTCTGTGGACCCAATCGTGTCACCAACCTCCAAAATCATATGTTGGAGCCGCTACCCTCAATGCAACTGTATTTGGAGATAAGACTTTTAAAGAAGACTGAATGAGGTCGATGAGGTTGTAAGGATGGCACCCTCATCCAGTAGGACTGGTGTCCTTATAAGAGGAAGAGACACCAAAGATGTGTATGTGCATAGAGCAAAGGCCACGTAAGGACACAGCAAGAAGGCTGTCTGTAAGCCAAAGAGAGAAGCCTCTAGAGAAACTAAACGTGCCTACACATTGATCTTACATTTCTAGACTCCAGAACAGTGAGAAAATAGATTTGTTTTATAAACTACCCACCAAGTTTGTACTGCTTTATTATGGCAGCCCTGAGACTAATTTACATACTCTGGATGAAGTTATCATGGGTATAACAAATGATATTTGATCTTGTTAATGATGTAAAATAAATGAAAAAAAATGATTACACAGGGGATCCCTACTCACTGCCTTCAAGCACCTGTGTGACTACACTTTTTGGGGATGACAAAGACACTGAACTCTGGAGAATTAGGTATAGGAGGAAAAAGTCCACCTTAGTCTCAATTAATATAAAACTAAGAAAATGAAATCTTTAGTTACTTCCTTGAAATTGCAAGTGCAGGAAATACTCACAAGCTTCTAACAAACAAGGGGTCATAAGTAAATGGAAATTAAACAGCATCAACTGAAGGTGCATAAAATGTTACTGATAGTTTCATTTAGTGCCGTGGTTCTAGATTAGACTAGACTGAAACTTATTGATATAAAAACAAGTTGTTTCCCCAGGTCTTGAAAAAGGTCATTTTTAAAAGAGCACTTCAGATTCACTACCAAGAATGAATAAACTGGCTTTTAAGTAGAAAGTAAATACAAAAATAATACTTACCTTCAGCACAAGAGCCACATATGATTCCCTGGATGTGCCTTGTGAAGGGAGTAATTTCCGTATGGTGTTTGAGCACTTTGTGTCTCAGTGGTCAATTATACACATAAACACAAACAATTTTACCATTATGGCAGAATATTATAAAATACTGAAGACAGTTTACAAATGCTTTGATGATACATACGGAGTTTTTAAACTTTGGACAGGACTTGAAAACTAATGCAGAATACCAATTCTGCTCAGTGGAGAATTTAAAATCTAAACCAAAACACGTTTTGATAGCTACAACAGGCAAAATCTAACCTTAAAACAGAAATGGTATCAATTCCTTGTCATTAATACCTTAGTAGTGCATTGATATCTTGATAAGGAACATTATACAGTAACTTAATATATTCTTCTTCCTCTATCTGGAATCTTTTATCAGAGGCACTTATAAAGAGTTCTAGTTTTGGCGACGCTATAACAAACATACACATAGTATAATGATATATTTTACTATGCTAACAAAGTATCATTTATAAAGAAATTTTTATAAATTCAAAAATAGGTTATTGGTAACATGATTACCTTTAAAGCATCGATTTCCATTCACAATATTACTTCATTAATCTTAAACAGCAGTTCCATCTACAAAATGTTCTACAGCTTTTTCTTTTTGAAAAGGAGGAAAATAAAAGCAGGTAAGATACTCATAACTTCTAGTTCAACAATATCAACTTCATTTCACAGCATTGATTAGTAGAGAACATTTTCAATTAAAGTGGTATACAAGTTACAAAAATAGAATGATTATATAATGCAAAACATTGTCCTCCATTATGAAGAATGTGTGTGTGTGTGTGTGTGTGTGTGTGTGTGTGTGTGTGTGTGTGTGTATACACATATACAGATTTCTTATAAGTTTCACTATTTAAATAGCCCTTATTCAAGTACTTTTTTTCTGGTGTCTCTTGAAATAATCACCTTGCTATATTATTTGTAAATACATAAAAAAATAAAAGGTTAATCTAAGGAAAAGTTAAAAGTTTCAGTGTGGTTGACTTAAGTATCAGCCGTTCACTTCAGTGAAAACCTGATGTTAATTCAAAACAGGTTTAGGTGCCATACTAAGTTTTAACAACTTAGTCAAAAATATAGATATATTTAAGTGTCAATACTTAGTAAACTTCCAATGTGCTACAGAGACAAATTAAAAGTTTGTATTAATCTATTCATCTATCCACCTAATCTTAAACAATCCCCAGACAAAATTCATTTTTATATAATTAAAATGATACACTAATATACAATATACCTGCTTACAAACACATAGGTAGCCATAAATAAAACTTTATTCTTTAATTTCATTTACAAGCTACCAACTATTATGTATCGTACACAGTGCTGAACACTTAAATGGTTGTAGTCATGGAAGGATCCAGACTGAATGGAAAGCTGTAAAGAAAAGATAAAAGCAAAGTAATACTGTAACAGAAAGGTGGCAAAAGTATGGCTTTGCCATAATGAAACCAATCAGATTTGTAATTGTACATCAGTTCTGGTTAAAACAAAGTCTGAGCGCCATGCGATTCTCAGCTTTATTGTTTGCAGTCTGGCTAAAGTCTCTATGGTCTGTCTGTCTTCTGCAGTTATTAAAATAAAAAAAAAGTTAAAAACTATAGCAGCAACAAGCAAACCCTGTGACAGGAAGGCAAGGGTTAAGAACTAAAAAAAGTTTATACAGTGTGTTCAGGGAAAGTGTGTGCAGTTTATCTTCCATCAGCAGGAGTTCGACTGAGGGATAACATGATTCGGGCAAACCGCTCGCAGAGTTCATGCGTGGAATATGACGGTAACTTCGGTGGTTCATGGAAACCTTTAATCTCAGTAGAACAATCAAGCAGTTTTGGCAGAAAATCCGTCAGCTTCTCTTGGAGGTTTGCTGTAAATACAAACAATTAGATATAGCTAAAGACAGAGAGGGAAAGAAATCATCATCTTCAACATAATTTATTAACTTAGAGTGTGTTCAACTAATGTTTCATTTCAAAATATGTATTACCATTTGGGGGAAAGAGGTAAAATATAAATGGCAAGGCAGTGTGCACTTGGTTTGTAAATAGAAAAAAAAGGGAATGACATGAATGTAAAAATACTATAATGTAATATAATATTTTTACATGAATGTAAAAATAATATAAAAAATGACAAGAATAAATAACATCTAATTCCAACCACAGTTAATCCCAGCTGAAGTGTCCACTAGCATTGTTTAAACTTACATTCCATTTCTTGTCCAAGATAGGAACACCATCGATTTCTCATGTCTTCCACAGCAAGAATATCTTTCTCTTCCATTTCATCCACCAATAACAAGGGCAAAAATGGGACAATAAACTCATTCATAATAATCAAACCATTGTTTACTTCTCGATCCTCTCCAGATTCAAATAGTTCTGCAGCTTGTTCATTTAATTTCTTAATGCATTGAGAAAAAGAAAAAGTTTTGTTTTTAACTAAATAAAAATCCTGTGTTAATACTGAAGACAACAGAAAAAGTATGTTCACAAACAGTATTAGAACAAATGGCAATCAAGAAAAACAATCTCTATCTGTTCTAGCGTGAAGTCTCTTAGAAAAAGCTGTGCATACGAGAATAACAGAAACAAGAGCAAAAAGAAGTGGGGAAAATACTGTTGTCATGTTTTTAAAGTTCATGTTCACCTTATAATTTTCTGATTATCACTACAGGGACCATATTTTAATTCTCCAGAGGTGAAATTTCCCCAATTCTAAAATTTGGTGTGCCATCAAAGTAATTTAAAAAAAAAAAAAAATTCAGACGCCATATTATTTTTGAAAAACACTTTATCATCTTCTCCATAAATGCCAATTGAGTAAATACTGTTTTATTTCTTGAATCTAAAATTTAAAGGTAATCAATTAGTTCATTATTCCTTCAAAAAATTCTTACTGAGTACATGAGATATGCCAGAAACTATTCTAGATTCAGGGGAACCCAACTGATTAATACAGAAAATTTTCACAGAGTTTACAATTTGGTACAGAGATTAGCAAACTTCTGTAAAGGAGAAGATGGGAAATATTTTCGGCTCTGACAGCGATACAGTTTCTGTTGTAACTACTAAATTCTGCCATTGTTACACAAAGACAGCCATACATAATATGCCAATGAGAAGGTATGACTATGTTTCAATAAAACTTTATTTACAAAAACAAGTGACAGGCTAGAGTACAGGCCAGTTGTGCTGACCCTTGATAGCAGAAGACAGAAATTCATGAGGTAAGAAATATAGACTTAAGAAACAGATAAGGTATTATAGGTATAGTAAAAGTTATAGTATTTAAGGGTTTAGGTGAAATCTTAACATTTAGAGCATGATAGATACGATTTTGAAATATTCACAGTTAAGCTGAATTATAAAATAAAAATTATATTATTTCTCATGTTTATATTTTATCATTCTTGTGTAATTTATATCTTGATTTTGTAGAGAGGCTTATGTTAGTAGTCTAACTCAGCCACTAAGCAGTGGCTTGAGTAAATAAGCAATCTCTTAGCTTCAGTTTCTTCATATGCAAAATGAAATATCACCTTTTTTAGACAGTGGTTGAGAGGATTAAACAAGAGAAGCCTTTAAGTATCTAGCATAATTTTTACAATATGCATTCAAACTTGTAATAGTTACTACCATTCTGAAATTAATGTTATCTGAAAACAACCTAAACATAGTACACCCAAAGCCAAACTTATTCGTCATCTTAGATTCCCCAAAGCCAAACACAAAACTGTAAAGTCAAGCAGTTTTGACAACCCTATTTCCTTCTTTCTACTCATCTAATAGTTACCAGGTCCCTTGATTTCACTTCTTCCACCATCTTTTATGCCCTCTTCTTCATACCCACTGCACTTCTGTCTTAGTTGAGGCTCTCTCCTTCTTCCCTCTCTAGGGAAGACTTCCATCTCTACTCCTTTCCAGTCCACCATCTAGTATACTACTTACAGCCAGATTTATTTTCTGACAACAAATGTGACCAAGCCAAACCTACTCAAACTTACAAAGGCACATGAGAATGCTGCATAAGCTTCAACATAGGCTGACATCAACAAGTATTGTTAGCTTCATCACTTGCACCTAACCCTGCTCCTCAGAATCTAGCCCCAGTGGATCTATCTTCATTTTCTGTTGTATACTTTCCAGGTCTTTCCATATGGTGTCCCTTTGGCTGGAACATTTTTCTGCCTTCTCTACAAGGCATAAAAATCCTATTTGTCCATCAAGATCCAGATCAGTGTTCAACGTATCCCTTAAGGTTCTCCTTGACAACTACAAGCATATTATTTTGCATATTTCTCATAAAGACACTTAATCTGGAATATAAAAATCATTTATGGTACAGACTGAGTTCTTGGGAGATGGCAAATAAACAGGTCTTAACTGTCTCTGTATCCCTCAAACATGACACTCGGCAAATACTCAGTATGAAAAACCCTGAAAGGAACACTAAAATAACCCTCATGCAGTGTCATTTAAATCCCTATGAAACACCAAACTAGGTGTGAATGGTTTAGTATCATAATATGGGGTGAAACATTCTACCTTTTTTTTCATGTTTTAAAAGAACCATCACGTTTTGGCTACATTTATATTTAAAATAGCTTTACCAAAATATTGCCATATCCCAAGCCTTCAATTTTTACATTAAAAATTGCTTTAGTTCATTAAATATATAAATATATACAATTCTGCATTTTTTAAATCTAAAATATACACAATTCAGGTCTTCCTTCTTGGGGAATGATTAAAAACCTTTGAAACTGGCCAAATTAAGAACTATCCTCAATGGATGCTAATCACTAACAATTCAAGTTCTAAAATATACTCAAATGCAATAAAAGCAGCTGAGAGAAAAATAGTAAGATCATCGTCATCTAATATTCTCATTTGAAAATTCTAAAGACATATTAAGATTACAAGTAGCTTATGTAGTTCTACTGCAAGAAAACATTTTATCAGCATACCACTTAAAGTTTTTTAAAGTATACTTAAATCATGTAACTTATATAGGTTGAAAAATCATATACCCTTGAATATCTTTGTGTGTATATATACATATATATTTCTCCTTGTACAGGAAAAAAAAATTGCAGCTTAGGTGTTCACAGTATATAACAGAATGATGCTAATAGTTAACTAAGAATTAAATTTAGGGGCGCCTGGGTGGCTCAGTCAGTTAAGCGTCCGACTTTGGCTCAGGTCACGATCTCGTGGTTCGTGAGTTCAAGCCCCACGTCGGGCTCTGTGCTGACAGCTTGGAGCCTGGAGCCTGTTTCAGATTCTGTGTCTCCCTCTCTCTCTCTGACCCTCCCCCGTTCATGCTCTGTCTCTGTCTCAAAAATAAATAAATGTTAAAAAAAATAAAAAAAAAAAGAATTAAATTTAATCAGAAAAATGTAT